TTAAGAAACCTAAAACAACAAAAGAATGAAACAATCGCACAATACACAGCCAAGTTAAGGGAGTTATGGAGAAGAGTAGATCCTCTCAAACGAAAAGCAGAGGCAGACAAAATCATGGATTTTGTAAGAGGACTGCTACCAGAGTATATTGAAGCTGTGCAAGGGAGCATGCCTTCAACGATCAGACAAGCTATCAAAAAGGCTAAAGCAATGGAAATAGCCAAGAGCATAAAAATGGAAGTAACTGGGAAGAAAATCGAACCTAGTTATCATCCTGAGAAAAAGAAGGAAAGAGGATTCTCCAATAGGGAGGAAACAATTGAAGAAACAATCAAGAGGGTTCTCCAACAAGAAAAAGGAACCCCAAATATCATGCCAAATGGACCGTGTCCGAAATATGGGAAGAATGGTCATTGGGCAAGAGATTGTCCTGCAAAACGGTGTTACAATTGTCAAGAAATTGGACACCTCGCGAGAGATTGTAAAAGATCTGAAAGGATTGTGAAATGTTACAACTGCGGAGAAGAAGGGCACATTTTCACAAAATGCTCCAAGCCTAAGAGATTTCTGGAAAATAAAGGAAAAGGATCTGAGATAAATAAACCCTATAGGACAAATGTAAGCCAGGAGGAATCTGACAATGAGGGACCATCGAGGATGTATACATATTCAGACAAACCGAAGAAGAACAAAGAAAAGTTAGCGAATACATTAAAGGATTGCCTCGAACTACTTAACGAAGATTTAAAAGATCAACTGCACCTTTAGGAGGTGAGAGTGCAGAACAACAAAAACCTCCAAAATATATTCTTAATGTGCTGTATCACTGTCGGGACAAGATTTGGGTATCAAAAAGAAGCGAGAATGCCAAGGTAATGGCCGGACTCTGGCAGACCGTATGTGGAAAAGTAGAACCACTTGAGGGATCAGCTGAAGCGTGCTTGAGGGAAACCTCTGAAGAAGCAGGAATAGATCTTCCATTGAAAAGGATCAGGAAAATATTCAATGACCCTGTATATAACTGTGACGTATACATTACCAAATTAAAGAAGGAAGAAATACCAATGTGGATGGAAGAAAATAAAGCTGGTCCATGGAGGTCTATAGATCAAGAAAGATACCTGAATCTGATAGAAAATGGACAGATAACTCCAACACACGTGAGATTTGCACACAAGATCCTAAGCAAATTGGATCCAATTGGAGAATTGACTAAGAAATGTCCAAGAATTATTCCGCAGAATAATCTACAAGAAGAAGAAGAATCTAATGCAACAACACAACAGCAATCACCCAAGGACGCATTATTCATGGAAGCGAAAGTGGCTGGGAGGAAAACAAACGTAATGATCGATACAGGCGCAGTAAGGAACGCTATATCGAAAAGTTTTCTAGATGAAATTGGACTGGAAATTGATGGACCGCCTGATAGAACCCTAATTGGAATAAGCGGAAAAATCACAACACCATTAGGAGTCATCCATCAACTTCCAATCAAAATAAATACAACAATTTG